AGCACCATCATCAGGAGCTGATTTCCACGGAATCGCCTGCAGCGCTGGCGATGGCGGAGCCTAGCTTGCAAGAGGTGCGATGCCGGGATTCATGGTGGGTGGCTCGCAATGGGTATCTTCCTACCCCAGCAGGAGACAAGTGTGCCCGCCCATGACGGCTTGCTGAAGCCTGCTGGTCCTGAGGAGCAGCAGCTTTGAACGATAATTTTACTCTTCAAGACTTTGCATGCAAGCAGCACTTGTAATCTGTGGTTCTGGAAAGCTGGAATCAAAGACGAGGAAGCCTAGCTGCAGTGGAAAAAGAATAGCAATCAGGCGGAATGGGCTTTGGGTCTTTTGCATCTTGCCAGTTTTCCTGCCACGGGAGGAGCACGTCAGCTCGGCAGAGTCGGAATCTTTAAGGACGGATCTCGAGGAGACTTGAAACCAAATCGAGCTTGTCCAATCAAGGTGGGGAAGACAGTTCAGAGTTACAAGTTTGCATGGTCACCCATGTTGAGCAGATCATTCCTGATTCCGCAGTGCATGGGAGTGCTGAAGCAGGAGATGCATCCTTCAGCTGCGACCTCTTAACGCAACAGCTGGAAGTGCCAAACAGGCTACAGCTGCTGCAGCGGTGTGCAGTGCGGCGAAGGACGTTGTGGCTTTCCCGAAGATGGGTGAGAAAGCTTTGACTTGCGCTCCGGACCCCGACGCCTACTTATTCCACTTCCGCAATCTGTCCAACACCATCACGCGCCACAAGGCTGATTCCAGCAGACTCCGCAGTCCGAGGCGGTTGTGAAGCCAAAAAGCACTGTGAAATGAAGTTGCCAAGGTTGCTTTGGGTGGAAGACTCTATCACTCTAAAACATCGTAATCCAATTTGTGTGGTGAGGCTCGACGAGTTTGAGCTTGAACTTTGATGTCAATTGATGCATCTGCTGCTTGCTTCAGTTGCGCTGCCACACGAGATCTCTGCAGGCATCAAGTGTGGTCATTTCTTTGTCCTTTGCTCCTTCGCTTTGCAATTTGCTTGGGCCACACCCTCTCCAATCTTGAAGATGCATAGGCACATGAAGGAAAGCTACTGTCCGCGAGCCCGCAGACGTCTCATTACAACGCAGATCCGTCAATCGAGTTTTTTGAGTTTGCATTGTCGTAAACTGCCACAGCTCTACAGGCCGTCCCCAGGCCCATCCCCAGGCCCGTCCACAGGCCCACAGCTCCATCTTGTGCAGACCCAGCAGGCCTCTACCGCATTAAACATAACAGCTAGGCGCTACGCCGTACATGACGGTCGACGGCATTCCCCCCACCCTTCCCCGCCATCCCACCCACACCTATGATGTGACGCTAGTCTGGTATTTGTGAACGCTTTGAACGCTTGCACTTGAAGCGAGAATTTTCTTCGCAATGCCGTCATCAAAAAGGAGTATTAGATTTGATCTGTTTTTTGAGTACTTGCATGTGCACTTCTGCCATTGATGCTGCAATTTTGCCAGCCGTGTTGGCTCCGTTAATGGACATGCCGCCACAGCGCTGAGGAGTGCGATCCTGCAGCCAGTCAAGTGTCGCAGAAGTACTGCCATTTGTTCCACAGGCGGCCTCGTTATGGAGGGCATCGCTCCTTTCGATGGTGGTAGCATCGTTCTGAGACAGTGGCGCGCAAGATCTCAAGGCATAAGGCATGTTCCACGTTGCTGATGCAAGGCCCTGTGAGCTCATTCTGGGCGATCCAGGATCTGGCCTCAGATTTTGGCTTAGCCCTAGCGCCCTAGCAATGCGTAAAACATTAGCTAGGCTTTTGGAGGTCAAAAGGAGGTGCAGAGACTGGTACAGGCAGGGTTTTGATATTTCAGGCTGCTTAGATCTTAGGGATTTTGGAGGTCAAAAAATGTAACGTCTGTGCAGTGGTGTGGGGGATTGCCAGCTGTCAGCCTTTGGTCGAGCCCCTTCTCGAGACCCGGCCGGTCTCTCTCGAGAGCGGTCGACACTGGTCGAGACCTGTTGAGACTAGGTCAAGACTGGTCGAGATTGGTGGAGAATGGTCAAGAGTGGCCAGAAGTAAAAAGCAGACAAGCGCGCACTTCCAGTGTTACCGACCTGTCTTCCACCTGTCTTCCACCTGTCTTCCACCTGTCTTCTTCCACCTGTCTTCCTCGACCTGTCTTCGACCTATCAGGGGTCTCGATCAATCCAGAATCGCGAAATGTCACAAGTTCAATCCCAGCCTTTGACCTCCAACAAACACTTTTGCAACCCTGAGTCAAACCCGGTTGCCAATTTCGAGCAGTCCAAAGCATTGAAACCTCAGAAATTCTATCCCAGACCTGGACCCCCAAAAGCTTATTTGACTTTTTTCTTGAATTGCATCGGTGTTGTGCCAAAAGGAGGGGCCGTCGAGTCCCATCGTCATTGATTCATGGAGGCATCGCCAGGCCGAGATTTTTGTCACTGCGAGCAGTGTCCCTGTCGGCTGGCACTTTGCATCAGACTGATGAAGGTGGATGCCCGATTTCCTGTTTCGTCTGGTGTGCCACTGAGGGCATGAACGTAGGACTTTCAGTGCAGATGCAGAACCTCCGCGGTGGACGCATCATAGTTGAGGCATGTGCCAACGAAGCTTGGGAACTCTGGATGCAACGCTGTCCTCCATTCGGGAGGACCCTGTCCTGTCATGTCATGTCGCGAAGACAGCGTAGTTTGGCCATGGATGTACATCTTGGAGCAGCAAGCAGGCTTTGCCACCGCACGCCAAGCACAGGATGGACGCAGTTGCCCTGTCAGGATGTGAGGGTTGCCAATGTTTCTGTGTCGCTCTCAGTGCTAAGCTTTACAGTGCGGATCCTGCAGGTCAGTTGCAGTAGACGCTTGCTTTGTATGCTTCAGGTTGGTGCCCTGAGATCAGGACTGATGCAGTTGGACCCAAGCTGTGTCAAATCCTTGCCCTGCTGTTGAGCAATGGTTTCTGCTGCTGAAATCTTTGA